ACTAGAGGTGGGAGATTTTCTAATCTTGTTTCACACTGGGAATAAAGTGGCATCTGAAGTGTCCATTTTATTATTTCACACAATGGCATGGAAAATCTCTGTCATCTCAAAGATTTACCCCACCTCACTTCCCCTGCAGTTACATTAGACAGCACTTCCAGGCTGACACAAAACAGAGGAATATCTTTGGGAAAGGTTTCAATACTTCCTTTCCTGCACTGCTCAGCTGAATTTAAGGAGCAAGTTGTCTTGGTTAGCAGCCAGCAGAAGACAGCCCTGCCTGCCTCCTTCCCAAATAATGTTTTTAGTGTTATCCTCCTAGCTGTTACCTGCCCTGGGATGATGCAGCATGCTGCCCTCTCTGCTCCCACTATGCCTGTGGTAATGTTTATTACCCAAGACCAAGAAACCAGGAAATTTAGTATTTTGAGGGGTCAATGTTTTACCTAGTTTAGTATATTCTTCATAATTACAATCGTTATTGTACCTTAAAAATGGTTTGCTTGGGGTTTCTGGTCTACTCACCAAAATTTCACTTTTTTATTCATTATTAATGTACTGCCTTTATTTCAAGAGTATCCAATTATTTCATCTTCTAGCACCTGGAACAAAATGGGTCCCTGACAGTCTCTGCTTTGGTATTAAATTAATCATGAGTTCTTGTCTTTTAGGGTAGAGAAGGCAGAGATATGAGAGATATGAGAATCGATGTGGCCTTAGCATATGTATTCAGGTCACAATTAATATTGCTACTTTGATCTTTGTTCTAAAACCAGTAATCTGATGGGCTGGCATTGTATGTGGGAAACTTAACTAGACTATATCTGGTTAATTAAAGCAGCTTTCATGATAAACTCACCTGTGAGTGAACCTTTGTTGTGAGTGGCACTGACATGAACCCCAACTTTTCTTAGAAGGCACGTGTATTCCATAGGTGCACCTGTTCCTGTATCAAACACCTCCTTCTGCATATGGTAATTACATGTTTGCTGTTTGAAATAACAGAAATAAAACTTACCTTGCAAATGCTACCAATTGTAGTATCAGGTTTTTGGTATATTTTATTGACTAGACATGTAAGAGGTTTCAAAGTCATACAAAGAATGCTAGCTAATTAGAAAATCCCAATAATAATTAGCTTACCAAGACACCTGATACTTGTAAAAAGCTGTTGATACATAACTTGAGATATTATTTAATAAGATATATGTAATATTTTGTTTTAATATTTTCTCATGGTTAAAAACAAAATCCATTTTAACTAGCAATTTAGAAAGACATGGCTTTCAAAAAATAATTATATCCTTATGGCAAGAAGGCAATTATTTAATGCCAGTATTTAATACTAACAGTATGCACAGGTTTCCTGTCCTTGTGCCTGGATACCATTCACACCTCCTAGTGTAGTTCCATGACTTAAAATTGTTTATATGCCAGTTGCCTTCTCTATGCTGCAGGTTTTCAGGGCTTTGCAAAGGATTACTTTGGGTTTGGTTTTTTTTTCTGGATAGACATCTCAGTTTAGAATACCAAGTGCAGTCTTGAGATCAAATCAGCAGGAGGGAAAACCCATGCATTCCACAGAAACAGCTGAACAGAGGTGAGTAACATTTCATTTTTATTTATCAGCATATTACCCAAGAGGGGGAAGGGACTACAGCAACATTGAAAGCAAATGAGCCATTTTAAATCTTATCTAGCTTTTGCAATCCTTGCAGTTACTCTAGCTGCAGTAATAAAATACACAAAATGCATTTTAAAGCAGTTTCTGTAACTATATGCATTATACTGCTGTAGTTTATGATTAGCAAGGGGGAGGATGCAGGAAGTCCAAGGTTTTTACTGTTCAAACTTATAAAAATAGAGCTTGGTTATCTGCAAACTTACAGGAAGAACTTGCACTTCAGATCATTTATTGAAAAAGAGATTCCAGCAGATTAGTCAGCAGGAGCATGTAATTTGTACAAAATCAATCATAATCACATTGTTGTTGTAACAGGCATTTTTAAACTGGTAAGGCTTTCAGGAACACAGATCCAAAAATCACATGCTGAACTGCTCAGTGTTGCTTTCTTCTAAATGAACAGCCTGCAAAGAAATCACGTGAGTAGATATGAATAGTCCTTAAATTGTTAGATTGCCTTGAAAAATTGCCCATCCAATGAAAGTGGAAAAATCCACGGATTAAATTTACATTTCATGTACCATAAGAGGTGAAGATTTAGCACTGTAAGTCTTCTCTAGCTCAACCTGAGCAACATGGTTGTCATGCAATTCATCTTAAAATAAGATTCAGGTGTACTGTTTCTTTTCTCCCAGATGCATTTTAAAATTTCAGTCTCTGTTCCATCCCTTAGTGATACAAACCCCAAACTGAACCAGCTGCTGTGTGTTGTTACCATTTCAACAGCCTCACTTCAGGTATTCTGTCCCCATGTTTACACCCCTGTGTAGCACATTATATAAGCACTGCTATGTGTAATTTGCACACATGCTTACCTTTTGCCCTTTAAATAAGAAATTACTAAAATTTGGGTTAATTCTTACATTTTTTAAATCCTAAAGTGTTTCCAGTGCTTTTCACATACCCCAGAGTTGGGCTGCACTAAAAGATACTGGTGTTATACCAGTTATCTGTATATACACTATTGGTGGTTATTTGCTCCCTTATAATTTATATGAAACAAATATTCTTTGAGCCAGGGAACTGCTTTACAGTAGGACTGTTTAAAAACAAACAGGCAAGCCATTAGTGACTAGCAGTGGCACAGGATTATTTTAGCCTGGCAAAAGTACCCTAGTCCTCTGATGATGATTTTTAACACTTTAAACCCAGCTCAGAGTTAAACAGCTCACAAGCTGAAGGGGATGACAAGTCACCTAAAATGAAGTGTGTTTGATGACAATGTAGGTATTTAGCTGCCTGGCATATCTGTACAGCCATTTAAAAACAAAGAATCTGAAGAAAAAATCACAATTCTGTGCCTATCAATGTTTCTAGTAGCCAGCTCTAAGCAATTTGCAAAATCAGCGTTCCAGTATCAGTTTCCAAAATCCAAGCTAAAATATTTGCAGGCTATACAATGCATTTATATAAGTGACATATTTGGGTTGTGTAACATTGTCCTTACCTTCTGTGAGCCTGGCTTTGCCCCCAGTTGGCTGACACAGCACAGTTGAGCACCCTACACACAGAACCACTGTCTGGGCATGGCTGAACACTGTGGTGATCTTGTAGCATCCTGAAAAACAGCATCATGAAACTTCCCACTGGCTATTTCTAGCATCATTTTTTACTTGGTAATTGAATCAGATATTCTGAATACTTGTCCAAAATGCATCTGTATTTCCTTACACAGCACACCAAGCCAAACTAAGCAAGCCATGGTTGTGTTCTGAAGCGCTTGCCTTTACTGACATGCATAGAAAAGCAAGTTAGGTAACAGAAACTGGTTTGATTCCATATGAAAATCAACAGGCCCTGCTGGCTGACAAACCCCAATTTGCCTATCACATCTCCTGGAAAGAAGTTCAGCAGTTCCAGATTATCCTCCTCTGCTGAGCAGAGGAACCCATGGAGCTGGAGAAATATTTACCTTGTAACAGCAGAACGCTGCTGTTGACAAAGTCTGAAAGCTGGGAATATAAACACTGCTGTTCCAATCTGTGTTTGCTTTCTGTTTAATAATTGGTACATGTAAGGCTTGGTTGCATTCTATAAAACTAACATAATACTTAAATGGAAAGACTTGCACATAAAAACTTCGCTAATTCCCTATGTAATGCTTTTGTCTACAACTTATAAATTTTATGACTTAAGAAAGGATGAGATCACTCATACATGGCTTAGAAATGGGATTTTCACTGCTTTTCTATTTCTTCCCCTGAAAAGTATTTTTAATTAGCCAAGAGGTATGTTTGGAGGGAGAAATCCTGTAAAGGATTTAATCTGGATGTGGATATACAAAATAAATAGGTAAAGGCGAGCAGAGATTGTGTTTTCAGCACATGTGGATCAGAAAGCTACGACAGAACATAGGTTGTGAGCAGGGTCCTGTGACAAAAGCTCTGCTTGGTAGGGAGAAGCACTATGAGACAGAATAACAGATCTCTGTTTAAATCACAAAGAGCAACTGTATAAATCTTTGTGAAAAACTTCTAACAGCTAAAATTTAATCACAGCAAATTGGGTTTTTCCCCCTACTGAAGCTGAACTTCCATGTTGATGAGTTTTTAATGTGTGTGAGTTGGCAGGGAAATGAGCCCAACCCATCTGAGTATCTAGGTAGGAATCTCCAGTTCCACTGACCTAGGGACATAAGGCCATCTGCTGTTTTCCATGCCTTCTGTATGGGATTCTATCAGTACTGAAGCTCTCCTGCTTTGCTCTATACAGCCCACAAAAAACAATTAACCCAACAATAATGAAGATAACCCATGACCTATGGGCCTATTTTGACACTAACTGTATAACAGTGTATGCATTCATGTATTCTGGTTTAACAAAGAGTAAAAAACCCCAAAAACCCCAGAGGCTTAGTCTTCAACCCTGGATTTGTTTGAAAGCAATCACAGCTTACTTTCAAGTTGTTTAAATTAATTTTCCTCACTTTCAGATGGAATATGTCTCAGCTTCTTAGAAAACGAAGCAACTAAGAAAGAATAAGATCAGAAAACCTGAGCACATCAACAATTCCCTGGTTCTATGTCAGGAAGATCACTATTGTGTTTTCTTACTGCTGGAATCTTCTAATGCTGCAGCAGTTGCTAGGAAGTTACCACACTGTGCAATATGGATGTGACTGTGCTGAATAAAAAAGCTGTTCACAGGTAGAGCACATTCCTATCATGGTGCTACAAAATCCCATAGTTTAGTTTATAAAAGTGAAGTTGATTATACAGATATCTCTGAGCCAAAGTACTGAGGATTTCTGAGAAGTGGCCACAGGCAATATCTTATAATGCTTATATGTGAGCTAGATGGCAGCTTAGTTCTTAACAGCACATGCAAAATAGGCAGTGGTGTATGTTTTATGTATATGTGCAGTATCCCTGCATATATCCTTGTCAAAAGTTTTTCCAGTTGCTCTTCCGGAACTAAGTTACAAGAGCAGGAAAACAATGTTGGCTTCTGTTTGAAACTTGTGCTATGGATACTTTAAGGCACCCAGTTAATCTCACTTTATACATTGCAAACCTGGGGGGTTGTGTTTTTCCCTACTTGCTGCAAGGGTTTATACAGGAAAAAACCCAACTAGAGAACTCATGCCAGAACCTCCAGGAAAAAAGTGCCTGATTGTTTACATCAACTTTTTCCAAAGATGGAAAACAATGTTATTGTTAAAAAACCCAAAGCAATATGCAGACCTTTTTCTAGACAGAATAAAAACTCAGAGAAGAAATAATAATCAACTGTTACATGAAGATCTCTATAGAATACAAACTCGGATAAGAAATAATAATCAGCTGTTATATGAAGATCTCTATAGAATACAAACTCTGATAAGAAATAATAATCAGCTGTTATATGAAGATTAACAGTATATAAAATTAGTTTTGTTCCTTCCATAATGCATGAACGTTTCAAATATTTACCTGGACATTTTACATCCATAAAGTAGGAGTTCGGGCTCTGCACGAGACGTTTCTTTTTGTGCTTCCTCTTCTCATCCTCCAAGGAGGGATGCACCAGGTCCTTGGCCAGCTGCGAGGGGCAAGGGGAGAAGCGCCCGGCGCGTCAG